TTCATGACACCAATTTCCAATTTACCCCTCCCACATCCGCTCGATGGCTGCTTTGGAGGATTTCGGAGGAAAAAGTGTGCAAAAGTGGGCAGAGTGGGCTGTGTCGACTGATCTCATTGTCAGATTCGAGTGCTATAGAAACAGCCTTGATGTCGCGTCGGAGTAGGGAGGAGAGGGGTTGTATTGGGGGAGCCTCCTAAAGGCTGAAGGTGGTGGAGGGTCACATAGAGACCTCCTTGGGGGAGGGTAGCAAAATCTTCGAAAAAGCGCTAACGTGACGGTTGGCCCTGCTTGCCGATACCGATTTTTAACAAGACATCAGAACAAACTTAAATAAACGGCAACAGAGCAGATCATCTAACATGCCAAAATATTCCACTTATACGGTATTGAATGGAGGTTGGTCACGTGGCGCATCCCTGAGGGACTGAGAGACGGTAACCAAAGTGCTCCCCAACCGCCTATCTTTATTAATATAGATGAAATGGCGACACTGGGCCGTATGCTATGCTTCCCCGAAGCTAGTGATCCAAAGTTTCCTTTAAATTTATTTGTTTTGAACGATATAGTTTCTTCATTTTCAGTGCATGTTTACTTTTACCTACATACATACATTAAATGTAGGCCTTTATCAGGGCAATCCCAGTTGGGAAGACAGAGAAAATTTAAAGGAATTTTCGTCCCCCAACCCCTTCGGGGAGGATAGCATACGGCCCACTGACTCTTGAACCTTTCATGCAATTGCTGTACACTATTGCATTGATTTCGATGAAATTCCTTGGGAAACTCACCAGATCTCTGCTTTGTGCGGACCAACATCGATGGTTGGTAACTAAGGTTGTAAGACGATGATGGGTGTATATGGCCTTCCTTGAAGGTGATGACCTTTTAATCGCTTATAGTTTTTTCTATCACTGTCGATTAATCCAAGAACCTCGATTTCATCCCTGCTCTGGGTTTTCCTTTATGGCAGCATCACCATTTCATATTAATCTTTTTCGTGGTTTCAGCTCCTTACAACTACTTTCATAATGTATGCTATACGAAGTTATTACGGAACTGAATTCCGCTTCTTGGCGCTCATGCACCTGGACGGGGCACGCAAAGCGAGCGAAGCAGTTACAGTATTCAGTGCAGAATGAACTTCACTTTGAAAATCTTGCTCATGCTTTACTCACCCGTACCCTACTCAGGTATAGAAATCTATGATGAATATACGCCAAAATATCCACACCATCGAGGACCTCTGAAAGGGTGGAGTAATTCTATACAAATATTCTCCAATTCCAAATATTTATCACTATTGATCAACAAGTGTGCTGAAGCTGATTGAAAGGGTCATGGAACAATCTTGTTTGCGTATCGCTGCTTTCATATGTTGGGTTTTAAAAACTTGATTGGTTTTGAATTCTTCATTATTGTTGTTGTTGTTGTCTAATCAATTGTTGGCTAAGTGACGCGTTTATGATAAGCAAGCGATCAGAAAGAACGACGGTTTCTCTGTAAAAATGGGGACTGATAGAATAGAACCGATAATGCGAAAGAAGGTGTTGAAATGTTCCCTTGAAAAATCCGTATCGCTTGCAACTGCAATGCGCATTTCGGCTTGCGGAGCATACGCAGCGAATCGGCTTGGTACGCAAAACGTATTGAGGCAGGGGCCAGTTTGAGGGTTGAGTTATGCAAAAATACCTTAGTCTGAAAATAATTTGGCGGTTTCTTAGTATTGTGCTGTCCCGGAGCCTCATCAGGACCTAAATTTGTATAACACAGAGAAGCTCCAAAAGTTTTATTCCAAAAGAATTCCAAAAGTTCACAAAAGTCCAAATACTCCAAAAACAAGCCAAAAAATTTTAAAAAAATTCCTTTGGAAACTTCCGCGATATTTCGGTGTATAACACCTTCTTCAGGCCTGAAATAGAATTTACAATATAATAAAATAATAATAAAATTTCAGAGGAATTTTTTCGATTTTTCGGGTGCCTTTTTGTGTTATACAAGTTTAATTTGACAGTAGGTTAGGCGATTTACCCTGAATAGACTATGAGAGCAACTCTAACATACAGTAGCGGTCAAAAGTGTTCGCCGAAACGGTTTTCCGTGCTTCCTTTTTTTGCCAGAAAAAAATCAATGGTGGCCTCGAAAATTTTTCTTTTGAACATCCTGATTCTTTAAGCTTGAGGATATAAAAACACTAGAAAACATAGTATATCAATCTTTGGAGGGCGTTGCTCAAGCGAGAAAAAATAATGCACTAAAAATCGTTTCGGCGAACACTTTTGACCGCTACTGTATGTCACTAAATGGTTAGTGTACGCATGTGTTTTCTAAAGACGTAAATTTCAAAGTCCCCCAAATTGTTCACATTTGCGTTAATGATTTTGTTGCTTGCTTCAATTGATGTTTGTTAATTCAGAATCTGCACTCAGATAGAGATGTGGTAGTGAGAAGATGGGCCGTTACGGCTTGCGTGATCCTCGGATCAAGTTCTAGTTCACATCTCGCTAAGGCCATCCGAATCTGCGATGGTTAGATGTTGTTTGGGGTGATGACTACTACTCAAAACACACTGATAGCCAAAGGGGCAACCATTCATCCTACAAATCTGTGTCGTCCAGATAGTTGCTGTCTTCCTTTTCAACCTACGCTCGTCCTTGCCACATTCAATACCTTTTCACTGGACTTTTCCTTTCCTTGCCAACTAATTCCGGGAATTCATTCATAAAGGCATTTTCAAGAATGGCCACAGCGCTGCCCTATGGTGGCAGTGCCGGGCATGCCTGGATAACCTTGTCTAACTCCCAAGCATCCAAATTATCCAGAATTCACTCATTTGGAGGGACATCGCCTGCCTTACAAGAAATTCTGGAAGAGAGAATTTGCTAGCTTCTGTCGTTCGGGCTTCACCACACTTCTTGGACCTGAATTCAGCAGGTATCGCCACTTAAAGGAATCCTTCGCGGAAAATTCTTGCATAGTTTTCACAGCATGTAATCAGTCGTGATCACTAAATGCAATACACAATAATTTCACGCATGAAGGTTCGGTTTTCGAAGAGAAACAAACTCACGAAAATCCATTCTATGGACAATCGAGGTGATTTGGGCGGAGCCAAGGCGGGGCATGGAATGAGTCCGCACTGGGGCGCCTACGTATATCAGGCGACGCAATGAAAGAATTGGGTTGAAGCGTGCGATTTTGAAGAGTAGAGACAAATCGATCGATAGAATAGGATGGAGTAGAAGTGTGAGATGTGAATGCAATAAGTCAGAAAGGCAGAAAGTTTTCGTATAACTGCGACGCATTAATCATAGTTGCACCTATGTACCCGGCTGGATATCATTTTCTCACGATACGGCGCTTATCTCAGTCGGATAGTAATCAGGGTTCCTCCAGTCATATCCTGTAGCATCCTTGAGAAATTTGTTCGTTATGAAGTCACCCCGACAAATTCCAGCGGAGCTGACACTTTGACAATTCCTGCGTCTCTTTTGCTAGGATTTCCCTTTTACGGAAGTGTGACAGCGGTTTTGCCTTTGCTATAAGCTAAGGAACTTGAGCGGAGAAGCTAAAGCGGATATTTTCGAAAAAATAAGGATAAAAATTGTTGCTTTCTCAAACTGGATTTCCGTGTTAATATTCAGATTCGCGTTTATATGTGTCACAATTTATCTGTAGAGCCTTTTCCAAAAACATCCCCAGATTCAAGTTTTTGGGAAATTTGTAGGTGGAACTATAATTAT